AAGGATAAGGAGGCAGAAGAACAGGTGAATAGACAAAGGAGTGAATAACGACCTAGCTAGAAGGGTGAATAGCTTTTAATTGGGCCTGTTAGTCGATAACACTGGGTTGTGTGCAAAAGCAGACCACGTGATAACAAGGCCTAATGAGTGGGGATTGGAGTAAGGACATGGGAGAGCTCAAGCCCTGTAGTTGTTGAACTCTATATTGAGGTTGTTGAACTCTATATTGAGTCCAGAAGGCTGCAGGGTCCCCAAACAGAAAACGGCATGCTCTTCTTCCAGCTTGCGTTAAGCTTCGCTGCAGCACTGCAGCAAGCCCGAGACAGATGTTGGCCAGGGAACAGGATGGTGTGTTGAAGTGGCAGGCAACTGGAAGCTCAGGGTCTACTTTGCGGACAGAATGTAGGTGTTCTGCAAAGCAATCACCCAGTCAACACTTCATTCCCCCAATGTAGGAGGAGACCACATTGTGAGCAACGAATGCAGTAGACTAGATTGTGTGAAATGCAGGTAAAGCGCTACTGTTGGTCTAACCCATCTCCAGCACCGCGGCCCTCAATGCCTCTCATCCCTCCAACATCCACATTCACAGGATCATTAGCCCCTTTATCTGTTCAACTGTCATTCTCTCTCTTTGGGCTCAATCCCCACCAACTGCTTACTCCTTACCCCTCCACCTGACCCTATCTTCTGCACATAAACAGACATTTTCCTAGCTCCAATCAGTTCTGAGAAAGGGTCACTTGACCAGAAACAGTAACACTGCTTTCTCTCCATAGATGCTGCAAGACCTGCTAAGATTTTCCAGCAATTTCTGTGTTTGATATCTTGTCTTGGTCATGGAAATAACAAATGCCATATAATTCATGTGGGGGATTGTTGCATCCTGGACATCCCTTAGACTTGCCCCAAAGAACACTCACCTCAATGTGTTCAGAGATGCTATCACACACCTCTGGAGCAGGTGAGACTTGAACCCAGAGTCTCGCAGCCCAGGGGTAGGGACACTACCACTGCACCACAAGAGAGCCCCTAACAAGCTACGGTCAGGGTCAATGAGCCCTGGTGATGTGTCCACTTTCAGTCTCATTAATTGCTCCAATACTATTTATTCTGAAGTAATACTAATTGTATTCAGTTCCACACTCACTGGACCCTTAGATCAAAATTATTTGAGGAAGACTTCTCATGTCCTCCTCTGTGAAGACGGGCAAAGTCCTTAATTAGCTTTGTCATTTCTTTATTTTCTACTATAAATTCACCTGCCTATAATAGAAACACATTTTACTTTGGTGATCTTTCTTCTTACATACTAAAAGAAGCTGTTACAATCTGTTTTTGTTTTCCCTGCAATCTTACATTCATACCCTCTTCTCTCTCATCAGTTTCTTAGCCCTCCTTTGCTGAATTCTAAAATTTTCCCAATCTTCAGGCTCATCACCAGGGTCAACTTCCTCCTCATACCTTCTTAATTGCCCTTAAGATTTAAGGCTAGTTTCAGAATGAACAACACCTTTTTCCAAAGGTAACGGAAAATTGTACCATACTATGACCATTGAAGGTTCTTTGGCAAAATTATTAATTCGCCCCTTCTGACTGCATAACACTGGATCTAAAATAGACTGTGTCCTAATTGGTTCCTCCACAATTTTCTGGAGTAACATAGCTCTAACACATTCCAGGACTTCTTCCTGACAAAAGTTTAAAGGATTATAGAAAATGTAGGGATCAAAGTAAAATTTTAGGGCCACAAAAGGAAGCATAAAAAAGAAAACAACATGTAGATTCAAAGAAAACCTAGGTATTTTATAATCATAAAAAAAGCAAGAGGATAATCCAATATAGCATCAAGCAAATTAGAGGTCAAAGGAAAAACTGTCTGTGGCAGCGTAAGATAAGGACATGATTCTCAAAATTGATATTTTCCACGTGATTCCATGGAGGATGCGAGAATGCATATTCCACTTGAATAGAAACGAGAACTATGGATTATTAACACATTTAGCAGGAAGCTAGATAGTTACTTAAGGACAAAAGGAATAGATGGGATGGCAATGCGGTCAGATGAAGTTGAGTGGGAGAAGGTAGAACGGCCTAAGTCTTACCCGATTTTCATTTACAGGTGATTTTTCTGTTAATTTTCGTTTAAACACTTGCAACACTTCTGTGCAGTCCTCCAGGTGAGCCTCTGGTTCCCAAGTATCATCTTCAGAAGAATAGCCTTTCCAATGAACTCTGTACAAGACTTGACCCTGTTAAAGGAAATATATGTTTATGCATGAAAAGTCAAACCAGAGACTTCCAAACAGTAAATACAGAAAATATTCAATAGTACAAAGTTATACCAATCTAAAACAAATCTTGATGCAAAAGCAAATCAACTGAATCAAAAGTCTAGGATTTTAAGATTTTTAATTACTAATTTTATAAAATGCATTGCATAAATGCATAAATCACAAATGTTAGAAGCACACTCATCTCATGATACATTTTGTACGGTAGGAGAGCAAATGGTCTATTTCCAGACAATCCTATGTCCACTTGCAATTCATATAGAACTATAGAATCCCTACAGTGCGGAAAGAGGCCATTTGACTCATTGAGTCTGCGCTGACGCTCCAAATGAGTATCCCACCAAGGCCCAGCACCCCACCCTATCCTGTAACTCCACATTTACATTGGCTAACCCACCTAGCCTGCACACTACAGGGCAATTTAGCATGGCCAATCCACATAACCTGCACATTTTTAGACTGTGGGAGGAAATCAGAGCACCTAGAAGAAACTCATGCAGACACAGAGAAGGTGCAAACTCCTCACAGGCAGCTGTCTGAAGATCAAACCCGGGTCCCTAGTGTTGAGGCAGCAGTGCTAATCACTGAGTCAGCATGCAACCCATTCAAGTACAACAAAACCTGTAAATTGAAGACAACAAGGGATTTGCATCAGGTCTCCTTTATTTGTAGCTTCCTTATTTTCAAAATGAAACTAGCGTGTACAATATACTTGATAAGTTAAATATCCCAGGATCAAGCTTTCATCATCTGCATTAATTCTTTGTCCATCTCTACCTCAAACCCTCATATGGGATTTAAGTAATTTGAGCTGAAATTTCACCTAAAATTTCTATTAATCATGTTTCCCACTTCTTTGGGAACGAGGGAAAGATATTCCAGGCTTGAGATCTGCTACATCGTGTACAGAAGTGTGCAGACTGCCAATGTTAATGATCAGAAATGCAAACACAAACAAACAAAGATACTAAAAAAGCACAAATGGTGGTGATGTGGCATTCTCTCCCATTACCCTCCTCCTCATTTAGTTCTTCAACTTTACGGGTTACTGGCTTCTGTGCTCTCCCAATTCTAGGTTGCTCCTTGCTCAGCAGAAAAACGTTGGTCACTGCCAACTCGCACTTTGAACATTAATCTCTCCAGTCCTTAGCTCCTTTACTGCATGTCAAACCCACATCAAAACAACTCCCGAATGTCAAGAGTCATGATTTCCAGCAATCCAACATCCACACTTCACAATCTACTATCTTGTAATATCAACAGCTGATGTCACAGTGTGGGACAGGGATGCACTGCAGTGGGAAATCTCAACTCAAGTCACTGCTGCGTAAACAAGTTCTTGTTTAAATGTAGTTGCTGTATAATCAATTTCTTCAATCTGCTGCCCTTTCTTTTGGACTGCATATACCACGCAAGCAACACTGCCATTTGATTACAGAAAACATTCAGGAGTACCAGTCAGTTCAGTAGCAAAACCAGAAATTGCTGGAAAAACTCAGCAGGTCTGGCAGCAGCTGTGGAAAGCACAGTTAATGTTTCAGGTCAAGTGACCCTGCTTCAGAGCTCAGTTGTGTTTGAGGAACACAAATTCTTTATTGAACATTTCATTGGAAATATCGGTTCGTGATCCATTTAATCCATAAAAATGAAACAAGGTCCCTCCCAGAAACATAGAATCCCCAAAGTGTGGAAGCAGGCCATGGAGTCCACACCAACCCTCCAAACAGCAGTGCACCCAGACCCACTCCCCACCCTGTAAACCTGCATTCCCCATGGCCAATCAACCCAACCTACATATTCCTGGACACTATGGATAATTTAGCATGGTCAATCCACCTAACCTACATATCTTTGGTCTGTGGGAGGAAACCGGAGCACCCAGAAGAAACCCCCGCAGAGACAGGAGAACATGCAAACTCCACAAAGTTGTTCGAAAGTGGAACTGAACCCGAATCCCTAGCGCTGTGAGGCAGCAGTGCTAAGCACTAAGCCACCATGCCACCATGCCATCCCATCTTGTGCTATGAAAGTGCAGTAATAAAACTGCCATTACTCAAAATGCCTCTCTTCAGTTACCACCTTGCAATTTACCTGTGTCCTGTGCTCCGAATTATAAAATAACCCAATACATCCCATTTCTGAAGAAGGGTCCAGACCCGAAACGTCAGCCTTCCTGCTCCTCTGATGCTGCCTGGCCTGCTGTGTTCATCCAGCTTTAAACCTCGTTATCCAATACATGAAAGTTGTCCATAATTCAAAATTATTTGAAAGTGGCAGTAGTTTCAAGATTCAGGTTTTATCCATAATAAGCAAGTTATTTGGGGCTGTTAGTAACTGCCCATCTTTAATAGGTGTTACTGTACACTTCAGTAAAACTTTACTGATCTTCAAGGAAGGTAATTCTTAATCTCAACCTTGTATATCCATGGTAAATAGTCACCTCAGCCTGAAGCCCCAAGGAAATCAATTGTGACAAAAATGCACATAAAAGACAGAATTAATAGGAAAATAAAGATAACAAAATAAGTAAAATGCAAGAAAGCCTAAGAATATGAAAGCAAGAAAATACGCAAAATCTAAAATGAAGGAAGAAATTACAAAAACAATAGGTTTCTGGATGCTACATTTTGCTGAAAACTAAATTGCATGGATACTGTCCCTGAAAAGTGTCATTCAGAATTATTTATACCCTTGTAACGGGAACTGACTAAAATGGAGAAGAGGTCCGATATTTGCAGTTGGTTGATGGCTAAGGTCAGAAAACAATTAAATCATTCACACAATGGTTCAGAAAGATTTAATTCTGTGCTGTGTACTTGTACCAAAGTCGTGGTCCAAAACATTCCACAGCAGTTCAATCCTCTACAGCAATAGCACTTTCTAACCAACTAAGTACTTCTGAAGTCTGGCCACTACTTTAAAAAATATGTCAATCACCTCATTCACAAGATCCCAAAAACAGCTATGAAATAACCAAAATTATCCTTATTTGTGAAATTAATCAAGGCATAAATATTGAAAAGAATACAGAGGAGAGTTCCCCTGGTCTTCAAAATATTGACATGAATCATAAATCTAGATATGGAAAAAAGGGCCTGTATAAAGGTACAACTCCTAACCAGTCCACAATGTTGAATTTTATAGCATTATATGGATATCTTGAGAATTTCAAATTATACTTGCAATGTGCCAGAATTAAACTACAATCTGCTCAAATTTGCGTTTCTGAAAATTATTCGATTTGATGTGTACAACCCATGAATGTTTTCACACTGTTTTGGGCAAACACTTCAGGAACGACAGATCTCAACACGTTGTACAACTAATTTCTCAGCATGCTTGCTACACTAAGGACAGTAATGCGTACTACTGATTATTTCTTTCTATAGAAAATGGAGGCATACTAAGGAGAAACTTGGGGCTAATCTGTGGTGTGCAGCAAAACTAACTCATCTGTAACATACTATCATACAGGAGATTCACTCATTAGAAGGATTAGGGCAATTACTTGCCATGTTCCAAAATGACAACATCCTTACAAGATACATGCAGGCACAAATAATGTGATGTCATTTAAAGTCCAGTTAAGAAATAAATTTGATACATAAAATAACTTTTGACAAAGCAAGATCGTCAAAAAAACACAACAATAAAATAACTAGAATAAAAAAAATTAGCTTTTACTATGGAGAAAGAAATGGAAGCCACAGAATTCATGGAACTAACTATTGATGTTTTGAAAACTGTTCATATTACAGAATAGGAAGTGCTGGGGGTCTTAGAAAACAATGGTGGATAAATCTCCAGGACCTGATCGTGTATATCCCAGGTCATTATGGGAAATTAGGGAAGAAATTGCAGGGCCCCTAGCAGAAATATTCGTATCATCTATAAGCATGGGTGAGGTGCTGGAAAACTGGAGGGTGACTAATGCTGTGCCCTTATTAAAGAAAAGCTGTATGGAAAAGCCTTGGAACTATAGGCATGTGAGTCCGACATCCGCGATGGGTAAGTTGATGCAGAGCATTCTGAAAGATAGGATTTAACATGCATTTGAAAAGGCAAAGAATGACTACAGATAGTCAGCATGGTTTTGTACAAGATAAATTGTGTTTCTTGAACTTGATTGAATTTTTTTGAGGAAGTAACCAAAAAGATTGATGAGGACAGAGCAGTAGACACTGTTTACTTGGACATTAGTAAAGCCTTCGGTAAGGTTCCACGCGGTAGACTAATTAGTAAAGTTAGATCACGTGGAATTCAGGGTGCGCTTGCTAATTGGATACAAAATTGACTTAATGGTAGGAGACAGTGGATGATGGCTTTTTGGACTGGAGGCCTGCAACCACTGGTGTTTCACAGGGATCAGTACTGGGTCCATTTTTGTTTGTCATTTATATAAATGATTTGGATGAGAATATAGAAGGCACGGTTAATAAGTTTGTGGATTACAGCAAAATTGGTGGTATAGTGGAAAGTAAAGAAGCTTATCTAAGATTACAAAAGATCTTGATCAATTAGGTCAGTGGGCTGAACAGTGGCAGATGGCATTTAAATAGAGATATTGCCTTTTGGTAAAAGAAACAAGGGCCGGACTTATACAGTTAACAACAGGGCCATGGGTAGTAAGACAGAGAGAACAAGGGATTCAGATACATAATTCTTTGAAATTTGCATTACAGGCAGACAGGGTGATTAACATGGCATTTAGCACACTTGCCTTCATTGCTCATACGACTGAGTAGAGGAGTTGGGACATCATGTTTAGCTTGTACAGGCCAATGGTGAGGTCTCTTCTGGAGTACAGTGTCCAGTTCTGATCGCTCTGTTATAGGGAAGGATATTATTAAATTGGAGCGTGGTTTAGAAAAGATTTACCAGGATGTTGCTGGGAATGTAGGGTTTGAGTTATAAGGAGAGGCTGGGACTTTTTTCACTTAAGTATAGTAGGTCGAGGGTGACCTTATAGAGATTGATAAAATCACAAGGGGCATACATAAGGTGAACGGTAAAGGTATTTTCCCTCAGGTGCTGGCATTCAAAACTAGTGGTCATATTCTTAAGGCGAGAGGAGAAAGATTTAAAAAGGACATGAGAAACAACTTTTTTTTTTACACTAGGTGGTTAGTGTGTGGAATGAACTGCCAGAGGAAGTGGTAGATGCAGGTACAGTTGCAATGTTTAAATGACATTTGGATAAGTAGATGAATAGGAAAGGTTTGGAGGTATATGGGCCAAGCACAGGCAGGTGGGACTAGTTTACTTTGGGAACATGGTCTGTCTGGCCTGGGGGTTGGACCAAAGGATCTATATCCATGCTGTATGAATCTATGACACTGGGGGAAAACGAGATACTAAGAAGAACAAACCTCTCCAAAAGCATATCCAATCTTTAATCAGATATGCTTTTCTTGATTACATCTACTGAAAAGTAAAGTTGTTTGGGTCCAGTTACAAGCCAATTCTTGCACAACCCCACCTTTCAAAATCATTCACAAGAAAAAGCAAAGCTTTAATTGACAAGCATTAATTGGTTTACCATAAATCATTTACTGTAGCTTAGAAAAAGCACAGATCTGCTGTATCAAAAAGTATATGATTCTCATTTGATCCAACTCGTTTTCCCCTCAACTGTATACCCCCAACTGCGTCTTCTCACATTGATGAATTTAAAAACTGTTTGATCCATTTGCCCTAATTTGGATCAAACATCAGTCCCAAAAATGTACATGCCAACTTGTCACCAGGTACAGTTGAGAAGGGACAGAAAGGAAACAGAAATACCAGACTCTAGACGAAACTGTACAATATAAAGATCATGTGTATGTAGTACAATAAGTTCCTTGTTGATACCCAAAAGGCATTAAGGTTGAATTTCAACAGGTCTCAAAAGATGAATAAAAGATGAATTTTCATTCCCACATGTAGTATCCTGCCCTTATTGAATTTGTAAATTGCCATCTCACTGAAGAGAGTTTCCAATCTCCTGTTCAACATATTGTGCTCAAACTTATTTTAAAGCTCTGTTTAAAAACAAAGGAATCAAACCTAATAATTAGTCAAGATTAGGCTAGTGTCATACATTGAAAACAATGCTAATTGAAAAGAATTTTTTTTTAATTCAGTAACAATCACAAACAGCATATTCCTGAATCTACATCTAATCTATGTGCCCTACAGGAAACCCGTTTCATGCCGCTTCCTGGTCTTTTTCTCCCCCTCTCCAAAAAGGAGCATAAGTAAACAAGAGAAATTTTGTTCAGACACTTCATTTGCACAAGAGCACATGGACACGATTTACCCACTACATTGCTCAACTGCACTCCTCCTGAAATAAAAAGTGAAGCTGCACCTGGTAGCAGCTAGAGATAGTAAGAACTGCCGATGCTGGAGTCAGAGATAACATTGTATAGAGCTGGAAGAACATAGCAGGCCAGGCAGCATCAGAGAAGCAAGAAAGTTGACACTTTGGGTTGGGACCCTTTTCTGAAGAAGGGTCCCAACCCGAAACGTCAACTTTCCTGCTCCTCTGATGCTGCCTGGCCTGATGTGTTCCTGATAGCAGCCATGTGTGTTTTAGTCAAAGCAACATCCAGCAGATGGAGTAATAGACTAGGTAAACAAAAACAGTGAAGTTATTAAACACTGAACATTCCAATTTGGAGACTTAGTATTTAAATATTTCCTTAGCATCACAGAGAAATATTGCCCAACATTTTGAACAGATATTTCTAATTAAATACAGAGTAAATATTTTGCACATGCACTAGATTTCCAATCAAAAATTAAAAACCAGACAAATAACATTAAAGGAGTTTCAAAAAACAATTATTATAATCTGTTATTTAAAACGTTAATGTTTAAGTACTAAATAGCGTATTCGTTTTGCATTTCTGTCAAATCTATTGAGTAATCAGCATCTAAGAGTGCTCCCCCAAACAACCAGAGGCTGACAGAAATTGAAGTTTCCCCAGATGCTGGTTGTAACCATGACTGGTGATGGACATCAACTCCTTTATGCAGAACCAAGGGGTAAACAGGACGGGGTGGAGGAAGGGGCGATGATGCGAGGAGAGGAAAAATAGGGTGGTACAGAAGGAAGGATGATCGCCAAGGAGTCAGGGGCACAAGATGAGGGGGACAGGCAAAATGTCACAGAAATTCTCTCTAACGAATTCACACCTTTTAAAAAAAATCCCATCCTAAAATCTACTTTTACAATATGATGCTTTTTAAAATAAATGAATGCTGCAATTTCGCGGTGCCCAACATTTTATCTAACTAATGCAAGTTTTAGCAGTAAACTGTCTGAAATGCATGGCCCGAAAACGGTCATGTAGAAATGTTGACTGCGTAAAACAGGAGATTACTTCTAAAATTTCCCAGCTAACTTTTGCCGTTACCGTAGAACTAATCTTCACGTTTTGTTGACTACACTCACGTCTACTTGTCATCTATCTCATTTGAAACTTTTGGTTAAAACGGGGGCCGAATATTAATTAGGCATGACGGTACGTATAGGTGGCCTTCTACCACAATGTTACCTCCAGTTGCAGGTCTAAGTGATACACTGGATCGATGGCTCTGGGCAGGTGGAGACAGCCGGGCCACAGGCCCCGCTTCACCAACACGTAACGCCTGACTCCATCTTCAATAAAACACAATCCAATCTGAAACGCTTTCCCCTCCCCACAGTCCAGCCTCTTTCACGCACCTCAGAAACCTTCATGTCCACTATCCTCTCCACCTCATACACATCTTCCTCCGCTTCGCTTTCTTGATCCGACTTGTCCACAGCCTCCGTCACCGCCGCCATGATAAGCAACGAACCACCGCCGAGTTTTGGGGGAAAAAACTGTACAAGGACCGAACGGTGGGGGAGGGGGCTCGAGGACGATGACAACGGCGACAAAAGCCAATCAAAGGCATGAATCGTCTTGATTGACAACACTGCCTTTAGCCAATTGGAAATGGCGACAGTCAATGTCTATCTCCGTCCGTCAATGGGGAACCGCCTCTCAGCACCAGCCCCAGCGGGACTCTGTGAAGGGAACTGACAGAATCCAGTCAGATAAACATTTTGTTACAACTTAACAGTCATCGCACCTAATTTAACCAATTAAAAATTCATCTGAAAAGAGTAAGAATTGTAGCCGTGTCAACAGCAACAACTTATATTGGTATTGGCGGTTTAATTCACAGTAAAAACATCTCGATCTTTCATAAGGTTTGTTTACTCCCGCGTACACCCCATTGTATTTAAATATTGCTTTCTGCGTTGGATTTAATGGAAATCACATTGTAGTAGGTGCGGCAGAGCAAGAGTTATTAAAATTATCAAGCAAGTGAGTGTAAATGCCTGAAGTTATGGGCCTAGTGAATCTTGATTGATGGTCTGTGAAGAGTGACAGCGCCATGATGGGCCCCTCTTACTCAGGAATGCATCCCCCGCTGGGAATTGAGAAAGGATGGGCTTAGTGTTAGTTTACGCTGAAGAGGTTCATGCGGTCGTGATGGCTTTTAAATCCTCAGAGTCTCTAATATAAGATCATGATTGCGATCTCCCACCCCCGCAACCCTGATGTCTCATTGCGTGAGGCCTTTCGGCCGATCATGTCACTGCCGTCTCTGCAAGAGCCAATCACATTCTCCCTCCCTTGCTTGTCCCTGCAGCATTGCAGTTTTTTTTGCTCCAGAAAATTTACTTTATTTTGAAGGCCTTGATTGAATCTGTCTCCTCTACTCCCAGGCAGTGGATCCTGTACGTTGCAGTGGCAACGTTACACCATGCTTATTTTGGCATTCACCTAAAATTGGTGTCTTCTGGTTCAGGATCTTTGTGCCAAAGAAATTAGTTTCTCCTTGTCTACTCTGTACAGGCCCCTCATAATTTTGAATATTTCTAATACATCGCTAAACCTTCTCTTAAAGAACTATCCCAGCCCCTTTATCTGAATTGTGTTTTGTCCACCCATAAAGACAGTATAGTTTGGTAATTTTCATGCGTACCACGTCAAATATGTTAGTGTTATGAACTCTTTCTCCGATTTTAATCAAATATTAAAGCAAATTAATTGAACACCATTTTCCCTTAACATATCCCTATTGCTTTCCTTTGATTAAAATAGATTTGACCAATTGACTATTAATTTTGTCCCAAATTATCTTTTTTAAAACAACTCCAAGGTTGTTGACTGGCCTATAGTGCAGGGTTTCAAAATTTTTTTAACAGAAGTGTAACGTTTGCAATTCTCTAGTACTCTTGTATTCAGGGTAAATTTTCAGGCACTGCAGATTCACTATGATGTTACAAACTCAAAAGGCAATCTGAAGAGACAAACCTAGTAATTCATTAATAATTTGATCAAAAAGCTTTGTAAATTGTCCAATGAAGACAATATCAACCAAATCCAAGATAAAGCAACTGGCACCACTTTTGCTTATCTTAAACATTAACTCAAACCATTACTGATGCACAGTGGCAACAGCGTGTCCCACATAAAAGATACAGTACATCAACTTGTCAAAGCTTCATTGATGACATCTTCCAAAACCACAATATCTGCCACCTAGAAGAACAAGGACAGCCAACATGTGAGAACACCACCTGCAAGTTCTTCTGTAATTCTCGCACCATTCCAAGTTGGATGTTAGCTGTCACTGGGTCAAAATCTTGGAAGCCCCTTCCTATACAAGGTCTGTAGTGGTTCAGGAAGGTGGCAGCTCAAGATAATTAGAAACAAAAACAGAAGTTGTTGGAAAAGCTCAGCAGTTCTGGCAGCATCTGTGAAGAGAAATTAGTTAACGTTTCGGGTCTGGTGACCCTCTGATTTCTCATCTGTCTTTGTTTCTGATTTATAGCATCCACAGTTCTTTTGGTTTTTATCAAGATGATTAAAAAATTCTGACCTTGCCAGCAATGCCCATATGCCATGAACAAAAACATTTTCTTGCTTATTCCTCATTAAGTAATGATATTTCATGAGCCAGATTTTCACATTTGCTTAACGTGTCGTCAGACTTAACTCCTGAGAAATCCACATTGGTAGTTTCTGTTTGTCAAAAGACAGCTAGTAAAGTATTGTTGAACATAGTCACTGTTGTAACACAGAAAACATGGTCATCAAATTGCACAAAGCAAGCTCGCACAAACAAGTGTTTATGACCAGATTTATTTTGTGATTTTGAGGAATTGTAAGGATGTGGCCTCAATTTTCTGGATAACGTCCTTTATTGAATTCAAATTCACAAACAAGTAAAAATAAAACCTAAAACAGAGGCTCATATATTTACAGGAAATGTATCAAAGCACAGATTGTTGATTGAGAAGTGGTCTGTGGTTATTAAGTAAGATTAATGTTAAACATTTTTTTGGATTTGTATACATGAAATTGCCCAAAACAATGCACCACTTGTATGAATGAAACCAAATGCAATGGGCTGAATCCTACCAGAAATCAGTTGTCAGTTTTGTCAAGTTTCAATTAAAGTTTCTCTCTGCAAGGCCTATCAAGTTTCTCAAGCAATTGTCCCAAGCTTACCTCATTAACTAAATACCATGTCCCAATGATTGACATTTTATCCGATGTTAGCTGGATTCTCCCACTCGCCATAGCGAAGGTATTCACCACTGCCAGGATATCTTGGGATCCCTGATGCCAGTGCCATATTTGATGCAGTCTGGAGTTGCCGTCCACTGCCAACATAGTGACACAGCAGCCGCAATCCAATGTCTTTGACATCATATAGTTGGCATGGCTGACACTTCCTTGCTGATGCAACTGTATATTCCATCCCCAATTGTGGTTTAAGTTCCAAGCCACACAGCTTACCCATCTGTGCAAACATTTCCTCTTACAACCTTCAACGGTGCTGCTGCTGTATTCCCAATGTCCATTGTAGCCCAGCATCTTATTGTTCAATGTGGGACCATCACATACAGTGAACAGTTCAAAGCATTCACCAACAAAAAGAATGAACAGAAGTTAAATAAACAATCAGAAGTTGCATCTGACATAACAAGGTGTAGAGCTGGATGAACACAGAAAGTACAGAAATACTGTGCTTCCATGTTGATCGAGTTGTGTTGCTGAATTCTACTGCTCAGGATCTTGTCATGAGGAAATGAGATGAAGCAGTATGATCTGACACAAATGGCTTTTTTTAATTATTCCCTTGTGGGATGTGGGCATTGCTGGCTGGCTTTCATTTATTGCCCATCCCTCATTGCCCTTGAGAAGGTGGTGGTGAGCTGCTTTCTTGAACCGTCACAGTCCATGTGCTGTAGGTTGATCCCTTTGGGAGGGAATTCCAGGATTTTGACCTAGCCACAGAGAAGGAACAGTAATATATTTTTGAGTCAGGATGTTCAGTAGCTTGGAGGGAAACTTGCAGGTGATGGTGTTCCCATGGAAGGTACTGTCTGAAGATCTTTGGTAAATTGGTAACAGCCTTAACACTTTTGTGGATGGGCAATTAAGAGGTCCCCAGCCAAACATACAAAAATTCAATACAACTGTCATAATAGCCACCAGGCTAGGATAGCCGCTGATCTCTTCAGGATACAGGTCACTCCAGCAGTTGGCATAATTCTGTGACAGTATCATGGGACATCACAACTCAGTGCCAACATTGTGCCTCACTCATTCAGAGGAAATAACATCAAGGGAGATAGACCCTGGATCTCCTGTATCTACTGCACATCCTGAGGGAACCTTCAGCTGCGACTTTTCATGTGCAGGCTTCTCAGCATTGCTGCAGGTTACTGCTGGTCCTAGGCTTGCTGGTTTCTCTTCTCTCTTTGCATCTTTGCTGCAAATAACACTTCTTGTGGCTGAATCCATCAGTCATGTTTGTAATGAACCCATGTGCGGAGCATAAGGGACGGAACAGTACCCTAGTTATGTCAAAGGCACTGGAGGATCTGTTATCCCAAGCACCTTAGGGATCAGTAGGAAGGTCTTATTTGATCCCAAGTGGGCACTGCACCTCATCAGAGAAAGCCAGCCCCAAACACACTGCACACGGATTAATCTTTTAGTTTGAGTTGATTAACTTATCGGATGCTATGCCCTCAATGACCTTGCCTGTCCTCAAAGGATAACATTTGCACGCACAATCTTGTGTGTTAAAAATTGGCTACAGTGATGCTTTCTTGTTAATAAAATATTTTAAAAACACGAGACAGGTCAGCTGGAACAGGACAGGGAGCAAGGAATGCCTATTGGATTGAATTACATCTATTTCAATGCAAGAGGGCTGACAGGTAAAGCCGATGAATTCAGGGCATGGACAGGTACGTGGGACTGGGATATTGTAGCCATTACAGAAACATGGCTAAGAGAGAGACAGGACTGGCAGCTTAATCTGCCAGGGTACAGGTGCTTTAGGTAGGACAGAGGTGGAGGAAAGAGGGGAGGGAGAGTTGCATTTTTTATTAAGGTGAGTAACACAGCAGTAGTCAGAGATGAAATAACTGAGGAACCATTCAGTGAGGCTTTGTGGCTGGAGCTAAGAAATAAGAAAGGAATGGTGATGTTATTGGTGTTATATTACAGGCATCCAAATAGTCAATGGGAATTAGAGAAACAAATATGCAGGAAGATTGGGGAGACTTGCAGGAGCAATAGGGTTGTCATAGTGGGAGATTTTAATTTTCCTAACATAGACCAGGACTGCCATAGTGTTAGGAGCTTAGGTGGGATGGAATTTGTTAAATGTGTTCAGGAAAGTTTTCTCAAGCAGTATATAGAGGGTCCTACTCGGGAAGGGGCAAAACTTGACCTACTCTTGGGAAATAGGGCAAGACAGGTGACTGAGCTGATAGTGGGGGAGCACTTTGGAACCAGTGACCATAGTTCTATTGATTTTAAAATAGGTATGAAGAAGGACAAAACTGGT